TACACTGAGGTGGAAGTGTACGGGGCATTAAAATACTCACTGTTTCAACAATACAAGACGTAAACAATATGTGTGTTAATATTATTTAAGTGTGAAATTTTTTTACTTTTCTGTGTAAAGTTATAGTCAATATTAAAACTTAGCTGCTATGACAATGTAATGCCTAAAATCACTGTAAAAAAAAAAAAATGAAAGCAACTTTACAGCTGCAATAAACAAGTTTTAACAGAAGGCTTAGTGAAAGTGCTTTTAGAAAAGCTGAAAGCTTAATATTTCTTAGGCAAAAATTTGCCCAATTCACTTCCATTGTAAGTTCCTCACTGTAATCTTTATTTTTATAAATGAGGCATAAGTAATTATTTTTGTAGCAAAAATTATTTTTTATTATTAATTTTGTGGCAACATTATGCCATAAATATTGTTGTTTCAGCTTAAAGGGATAGTTAACCTAAAAATGAAAATTCTGTCATAATTTACAAACTCGCAAGTTGATGGTAGCCATTGACTGCATAGTATTTTTTTTTTCCATACTATGGAAGTCAGTGGCTACTGGCAAATTTTTGATTACTAACATTCTTCAAAATATCTTCTTTTGTGTTCAGCAAAAGAAAGAAACTCATACAGGTTTGGAACAACTTGAGAATGAGTAAATGATGATAGTATTTTCAATTTTTGGGTGAACTATCCTTTTAACTTGTATTGAACCTGGAATATTTCTTTAATAATGACATACATTCTTACATACATTGACTTACATTCAGCAGTTGTTGTTCTCTCCAGACCATTGAGATTCAGGGTTGCCTTGCAACTAATATTCTTGCCTAGATCATCGACAGAAGGTGTGTAATTGAACACAGAGGAATAATTCTGAACATGGTCTGAATTTTGTACATCAAGTTCTTCCTTATGGAGGGTTTTATCTCCACGAAGCCACTCAATGTGAAACCTTTCCAAAGGGTAAATGTTGTGGACTGTGCAGATGAGCTTCTCTTCTTGGTTTGCTATGAGACTCTTTACTTTGGGCAGTACGGGATCTTCTGGAAATGCTGCAGAAAACACACTTCATCATAACAACATCCAAATCATTTACACAATAAATGCTGAAATGGTTTACTTTTTTCACTCTCTGTTTAGATCATCATAGCTTTAAACCTAAATAAAAAAATAATAATAATATAAAAATAACTAAATATAATAACCATAGAAATACACGGTTACTGTTAATTTTCTACTGCCTAGTCTAATCGATTCCAATTGCTACTAATAACATTTTTATCACTACTAAGACAATCAGCTTTAAATGGTTACAAAAAATGCATAAATGAAAATTCTCTCATCATTTTTACGTACCCTTATGCCATCCCAGATGGATATGACTACTTTATTCAGGTGAACACAAACAGAGATTTTAGAAAAATAATCTCTGTAAGTCCATAATGCAAGTGGATGGGCCCCTCAAAGTTGACGCTTCAAAAACCATGCATGCAAAATGGTAAACACGACCACGAAAAGTAACTGTAATCCATACTACCCTAGTTGATGAATCGATGTCTTCTGAAGTAAAATGGTAGGTGTAAGAGAAAATACTAATATTTTAATTTTTTTTTTAATTTCCGACCATTACTTAAATAGCATGTTGTGAAACATGATGTAAGCATGTTGTGAATCTTGCACAGAGGACTGTCACTTTTTGTTTGCATTTCACATCTGTTTTAATTTTATTTAAGCGTCAACTTTGAGGGACCCAACCACCAATGTTTCCTCTAATTTTTTTTCTTGCTGAGCAAAACTGATCTCTATTGGGCGGACATTTCTACCAACTGAGCAAAAAAACATTTTTTTATACCAGACCTGTACAGTGCACAAAAAAAACAAAAACCGTGTAACTGTGTAAAAATTGTGTAATAAAAAAAAGTGTAACTTTTAACTTCAATGTGCTATTTATATTTGAGTTGACCCTTGATGTAACTAAATGATGCACATTTTAGGTTAACTGAGATTTTTTTTTTACAGTGCTGTTACCAAGGAATTCTATTAAAATCTAAAAAAAAAAAAAACTCATGCAGAACAGTTCAATTCTTTATAAAATATAATATATTAAAAAATAAGCAGATATTGCTCATGAATTCCTTGCTTGAGGTTAATTATTAAGGCCTATTAGGTTTATAATATATCACATAATAACAAACTGAATCTGAGAGAATAGTATATAACAGAATAGAATAGAAAACAAACTGAAGCATTTAAACTGAGATCTGTAAGCTAAATATTAATCAAGCCACTCTTCTTTAAAGCATGAAGACATTTCATTTCACATGCCGTTTGAGTTGGCTCTTGTATTGAGCTATTTCGTCCACAACCATTAAAGGGGTCATATGATGCAATTTAAATTTTTCCTTTCTCTTTGGTGTGCTGCGCATTTTATGGAGGACTGTTTCCTGATCCTGGTAGAGTAGACTACAATGCCGGCTGTTCTGACTCACAGACTGTAAGTACGTTTTTTATATTTAAAGAATTTGCCACTGACGATTCAAACGCGAGTTTTGAGCAGTGTAGAGTAGCGTTTGTAGTTTGTCATTTCTCCGATCACAAATGCAGACATGGTTTTATGTTTACGCGATGCAACGCAACGCATGGGTGTCGCTAGGCCAATTTTAGGGGGGCTATAGCTATATATGAAAACGGCGGCAGACTTCGATCGGCTCCTCCCCGTCTCTCAGCGCGTTCTTTTTCAGTCCGCAGACTGCAGCGGCGCAGAGCGAGAAACAGAGGTGTGTGTTTATCGATAGACTGTTATAATATCTGCATCTGTGCAGTTCTTTGTCATAAATCCAGTTTACAAAAAATCATGGGGGACCAATAATCGGTTCCCCATCCACTGCGTTCAGCCCTCATCACACCACAGCTTTCAGTGCATGTGGCAAAGAGGTTTGCATACTTGAGCTAAGGAAATATGGTTGTGCTAGAAATGCAAACAGTAAAATGTTGTGTTTGTACAGTAAAGGGGTTGTGTGTGTGAGATCATGAAGACTTGAATTTGGCTTATTCAGTACTCAAATGTTATCTATGCAATACAGTGGAATACGGCAATAAGTTTAGTATACGACCCCTATTGATCAAACATTTTTTATCTTATTTATATTTTTATTATTAGGCTATTATTATTATTATACCCTCACTGGGGGCTGAGCCCCTCTAAAATGAAAATCCTAGAATCGCCCCTGGTTTTGCGTCTGTCTTGTGCGCAGCATTTTATCTCTTCTGCGGGGTCGCCAACCACTTGTCCCTTATGGACTCAGAGAGATAGATTATTTTTGTAAAAATCTGTTGGTGTTCCACAGAAAAAGAAAAAAAAGATGTATATATCTGGGGCATCATGAGGGTGTGTATTTGATGAGAGAAGCTTAATTTTTGTTTGAAGTATCCCTTTAATGTCATCACAAAAGAAAAGAAAAATAGTTTTTACTTGTATAAAACTAAATACTTTTTAGTACTTTTTTACTTTTACTTTTTAGTACTTATAAAAAATAATAATAGTTTAGTTTTTAAATAGTACAAGAATAAAACTGCTAGTTGTAAGGACTGCTGCAATTTTTTACTAATAACTGAAAAATTCTAAGAATAGTTTAAATAATTACTAGCAAAACTGGAATAGGTTTTATATATATAGGTAACAGAAACAGATTATTGGAATATTTAGGTTCCATAGCTAGTCACTACAGGAGTAGGTTAACTCAAAATTATGTCGAATTGGGAAAATGGGGAAAAAAACTGTACTTACAGAATACCTCTATCTTTGCCATTTTCTGTAGGATTTTTCCATCACAGGTAGATTTGCACATGACAGTTTCACTGTGTATAACAGAGATGCTCCTGATCAGCAGATAGGAAACAGTATGCTCATTTTTAAATTCTGCTGCAAGAAATTTGTCCGTTGCTGATGTCCACACAAAGGTCACATTAACCGGACAATCAGTCACTTGACAGGTCATCTCCAAATCCTCACCAACATGAATCACTGGATGTAACGGAGTTAATACCAGTTTTGAATTGTTTTCTCCTGTGGAAAAAATGTGTACTGTCAAAATAATGAAATGTGGAAGGTTAAAATTGAATAAACAAAGCTGTGTGAGGTCTTCTTACCTGTTATTACATTGAGAATATCAATCCACAGCACAAAAGTGATGCATTTCACTCCACACATTTTGCTTTTGTTGTGTTTCACTCATTCAGCATGCACATTCAGAAATAGCATGATAATGGTGATGGATATTCCCACCACAGCTCTTTTCTGACCAAGATACTGATCAACCATCCCGCCTTTTCCTTTTTACTTTCTGTTTCTCCAAACAAACATTATCCATTTGACTCACTTATCAGACTCCAAGCCACACCTGCTCACATTTTCCTCATATCCTCCAAATTGTGCACATAATTAAATGGTTCTTGAATATTTTGCATTGATTTACTCTTTTGAGTGTATCTTTTTGTCTTTTTGTACAGCACAAACCACCATGTCACAGTCTTTAAAAATGAACAGATCTGTGAATGCATCTAAAGTATATTCCACCTAAAGTATATTCCAGTTAAAATTACAACTATCTGTACAAAATGTTTTACAAATCATGATTTCTGTACAATCATATTACTAAACATAATTGAATCAGCATCATGTGATCATACGTACATGCATATTTCTTTCAAACACACCCATACTGTCACACACTCATCCACAGATGCACAACTGCATCTGTTAGAATTGTGACTTTCAAAAAAACAAAAACAAAACTGCTTCATGTAAAATTAGTCAAACAAATGCCAGCAGATACGTTCCATTTTGGATGTTGAAAAAAAAAATGAATTACTAAATACATTTGTGAATAATACATCATATAACTTATTTTCTCAATTAAAACACTATAAATATATTATAAATACTTTAACGCCAGAGTGTGATTTTTTTTTTTTTTTTTTCACATATTATAATTTTGTTTAGGAGAGATTAAGGAATGATCTGTCCATGGTCAAAAAGTCAGCTGCGATTGCCATCAGTGTATAATCATAGTCTTAGTACTGAGCATATTCAGACTGAAGGGACTGTGGAGAGAAAGAGAGAATTAAATTAATACATTGATATGAAAGGATGTGTGCAAATTTTACTAAAGGGTGGAATACACTAAACAGCTTTTAAAACTTGAACTGATTTTAACAAATGAGTGCCTGGTTTCACAGACAAGGCTTAAGCCTAGTTCTAAAATGCATGTTTGAGCTGTTTTAACTGAAAGCAACTTGGACTCATACATCTTAAAATATGTCAGTGCCATTGATTTGTATTAAGATGCACACCAGTAATGTTTTTTAAAAGAACATTTAAAAAAACTTCTTAAATGTCCTAATTTAAATAAAGCCTAATCCTGGCTTAATCTAAGCGCTGTCAGTGAAAGCAGGCCTATGCATCATACATTTGCAGACTTAGAAAATGTTTACAGAGAAACACTGGGCATCATTCACTAAACAACTGAGGATCACACACTAAAAGACTTTCAAGTCATTCCTCCTTGCTAGGAGACGCATGACAAATGAAAACAATATGTGTTTTAAAATTTGGCATACAAATTTCAACGTAATTGGAATACAAATTACGCTACGTAAGTTTTCTGTAAAATTTGTCAACTCCAACTGCCCAAAATCTGCAGACAGTTTTCTGACTTTTGGAAATAGCATCAACTCGTCCAGACTGTAAAGCGGGGCAAAAATATTGGCAAAAGTTTTAGAGTGTATTCCAGCCTTAATGGGTAGAATGATCAACTTCCAAACACAGGAAAATGGAATTCCCATTAATAGCATGCTTGATTTAGGCTTTTATAGTGTATTAAAATTGTCTAAAGTACATAATAGTACGACATTCAACTTAAAGGGATAGTTCACCCAAAAATGAAAATTTCATTTTGACAATGTTGTCGTGTATATGAAAAAGTTCTTATAAACACAAAGGAAAAACTTTTACATTGATCTATTACATCAGTACATCATTCTAGATGGGGAGGGTGCGAACGAGGAAGGAGGTGTGCTGTTGTCATCGTCATTGAAGTTGTTGTCGATCTAGTACATCAATGTCGTGTAAACGTATATTTGCGAAATTTAGGCAAAATTTTCCAGGCAAAACGTCTGCTGTCAATAGTGTAGCATAGAAAGCACAGCTCACACTGAAGTCAGGTTCAAATCGAGTAGCTTTTTGTTGGTCAGTACAGGCAAATACATTCCTGAAAATCTGAAAAATATTTTACACTAACTTTTTCTTTTTCAAAATAACATTGCCAGCTACTGGCCTGGCATGCATAATACAGTGTTTTTAGTTATTTTCATGGATCCGTGTGAATGGGGATCATTTTGACAATGTTGTCGTGTATATGAAAAAGTTCTTATAAACACAAAGGAAAAACTTTTACATTGATCTATTACATCAGTACATCATTCTAGATGGGGAGGGTGCGAACGAGGAAGGAGGTGTGCTGTTGTCATCGTCATTGAAGTTGTTGTCGATCTAGTACATCTAATACATCAATGTCGTGTAAACGTATATTTGCGAAATTTAGGCAAAATTTTCCAGGCAAAATGTCTGCTGTCAATAGTGTAGCATAGAAAGCACAGCTCACACTGAAGTCAGGTTCAAATTGAGTAGCTTTTTGTTGGTCAGTACAGGCAAATACATGCCTGAAAATCTGAAAAATATTTTACACTAACGCAAATTATATGGATTCTTATTGAAATGACTAGATTTCGGCCACAAAATTTGCCAAACAACGGTAAATGACTGCAACTTTACTCAATCTTACATCTCATGTGAGGAACATCCCAAAATTAGTAGTTATTTGCTATAAATCTGTGCTTCTGATGCAGCTCAAATTTTATTTGTATTTGCATACATTTAAATATGGTGAACTGTCTAACATCACCTTTTTTTTGTTCCATGGAAGAAAGTACATTCATGTTTGGAACAACATGAAGGTGTGAAAATGATGACAATTTTCATTTTTACATGAACTGTTCCTTTTAAATTATGGAATCACATTGATTATCAAAATCTCACATAAAGATCACAATTATACTATAGTACAGAAACAATAAGTGAGGCCAGAAGAAAATCTGAGGAAAAACCCAAAGTGAAGGAAAATTGGAGCTCCGGAGGGATAAAAGGAGCAGCGACGACAGTGAAAGGGCTGGGAAAGGGCTGAGAGGACCAGGGCTGGATTTTATGTTGTTGTTTTATGCGGCAGTCGTCCGTGAGGGGCTGCCGCTTTTACGTTTTTTACTTTTTTTTCGTTTTGTGTTCATTTATTTATGGAATTGAATTGGAAAATTGGAAGGAAAACAGCAGAAGCAGTGAGTGAAAATCAAGGGTCACGGAGATGACAAAGATGGCCAGATGGTCACTCACTGGAATGGATCTGCTGAGGTAGCGCCCTGGAAATCCGCTTAGTCCACCACGCAACGGACCTCTACGAGGGTTTGGCCGACCACCGGAGAACAGACTATAGCCGGTTCTGTTCATAGGCCTGACTGTGCGATTAGTGCTAACGGTATTAGCTCCAGTAAGGCTGTTGAGGTTGGTGTCGGCCTCTTGATTGAAGTTTACATGTGAGGGAGGAAGTCGGGGGTCAGCAGAGGTGTACCCAAAGCTGAAGCCTGATGGAAGCACGGGGGTTAGAGCAGGAGATGGGGAGGGTGCAAAGGAGGAAGGAGGTGTGCTGCTGTCATCATCATTGAAGTTGTTGTCATCGTAGAGGTTGCTGAGGGAATGGGCTAAACGGGGACTGAAGCTGTGCAGGGCACATAAAGCAGGGTTAACAATGTCTGGGTACGTAAATAATAGGGGTGTAATGATATACCAATGCCACGGTTCGGGTCATATCACCGTTTTGGAGCCACAGTTCAGTTCGGTTCGGATCTGTTTGCTGTGGGGATAGGATTCATGGCATAGCACCAGCTATGCTAAAGATCACTAGATTCACTTTTAACTTAATAAAAATAATAATAACAATAATTGCACTTTGTTAGTTAATGTTAATTAATGCATTAACAAATTAGACTTTAAAAATTGTTGTTTTGTAAAGTGTTACCAAATACTGCAGCTAAATGGGATTCTACGACTCAGACCTCGCCCAAGGGGTAAAAAAGCTGGGAGAAATTATATTCGTTCAATAGGTACAATTGTTGGAAATCGCCCTACTTCTTGTGGAACTGCAGTGGATATTAAAAGACAGCTGACTGAGCAAAGACCGTTTGTATCTGACTGTTGCTACCATCCTAAGAACTTAATTCGTATAAAGATAAACCAACACAAATCAATCTATGCCTGGTTTTCTCCTTTCCAATGTGTGCTCTTTATGCCACAGATGTGATGAGCTGCACAGTGTGGCAGTGAATAATAACTCGGGCTAAGTTGTATTATTCCTGCTGTGCTCTATTTTCCACGGCGTTCTTCAGCAGCAGCCCAACCTGATATACTAATTACACAGTATTTGGATAGTTGCCTCAGATATATTGAATGTAACTACCAGCAGGCTGCAATTGTCATATTTGGTAATACAAATAAGTACAAGTCTGAAACCATCTGCTGCAGACATGGTCTGAAACAAATTGTGGCTGGAGCAACAAGAAAGGCCAGTCAACTAGACTCAATTTTTACCAATATTTCCTCCATGTATCAGTCACCAGAGCATTTGCCTCCTGTTGGCTCTTCTGACCATCAGACTATCTTGCTAAATGCAGGAAATTGGCCCACCAAGCCTATCAAGCATATTTTTTTGTAGAAAACGTACCCCTGAGACAATCAGGCAATTTTTTGAGAATGAGAATTGGGCCTTCTCATGAACATTATTGATTTTTCTCACATTCATGAAGCTATGGACCCTGAGGCTAAGGTTGGTGCCTTTACCTCCACTATCAGGTCTATCTTGGATAAAAGTTCCGATAAAGAAAGTCTCTATCACAAACAATGATAAGATTTGGATGACTGTTGAAATTAAAGATCTAATAAAAGATAGACAGCGTGCATTTTGTTCTGGCAATAAAACCTCTTAGAGGAAATTAAAATCAATCATTGCCAAAAAAATTTCAAGAATGCAAAGAAACAATATTGCCAGCATGAGGTGGACGCACCAAGCCTAAACAATGGTTTAAGTCTGTGAAGACATTAGCGGGGATGGAAGAAGATAAGAGTGAAGTGGTGTCTCAGGATCAAAACATCGTGCAACATGACTGTAATATTCTGCCTATGCACTTTGCTTCTGTGTGGAATTATGTGAGCCACACTTCTGTGTCTAAGGAAGATGTTACCTGCAAGTTGTCAAATTGTAGTATACCTCCTCTGAGTATCGGACAAGTTAAGGCTAGATTCCGTAAAGTGAATACAGCCAAGGCTGCTGGGCCTGACTGCATTCCTCCTTGGGTGCTAAAGGCTTTTCATGAAGTCGGTGTTATGTGATATCTTCAATACATGCATCCAACATAACATTTTCCCAAAACAATGGAAAGAGACTATAGTCAAAGCTGTTCCTAAAAAAGCAAAGCCTAGTTTTCCAGCAGATTACCGCCAGATCTCAGCTGTGAGTCACTTTTACCAGCTGTGTTGTAAAAGTGTTTGAAGGAATCCTCAGAGATGCCATTCTAGAGGATACAGTTACTTAGGTGTGACGAGTGGGACGGGGCCGAGAGCCGTGGGAACGGAGCGAGGCCAGTGGAGTAAATGATAATGAGCAACACCTGCGACACTCACCGGTCTTGAGTCCCACAGAGGAGCTCCGGAGGGATAAAAGGAGGAGCGACGACAGTGAAAGATGAGAGAGGACCAGGGCTGGATTTTATGTTGTTGTTTTATGCGGCAGTCGTCCGTGAGGGGCTGCCGCTTTTACGTTTATTACTTTTTTTTCGTTTTGTGTTCATTTATTTGTTAATTAAAGTTTTATGTTTAAATGTTCACCGGTTCCCGCCTCCTTCTTCCCGATCTACGAACGTTGTTACATTAGGCTACGTTTACACTAGTGCGTTTTCGTTTTAAATTTTGACCCTCGAAAACGGGGACTTTCGAAAACACTGCAGACCCCATTTTTGTTCGAAAACTCTGGGGTTGCATTTCAGTGTAAAGCCAAGAACACACTACATGACTGTCATGCCGATTATGAATGGAATTTGGTCTTGACGACGGATCGCACCCAGTCAGACCGGGTCTGTTCCAGTTGGGCTCAGTCGCTATTTGCAGTCGGCAGAAAAAAATTGCGTAGTGTGTGGTGCCTAAAGATTATTATCTAAAAATTCAAGAACCAGTCGTTTCCAGTCGTTTTCACAAAGATTTTTTTAAACATGTTTAATATTTGCGACTGACGCCAGCGATTGTACTGTAGGCTATGCGGCTATGCGTTCACTGTCAAACGTCATTGTTTTATGCGGCAGTCGTCCGTGAGGGGCTGCCGCTTTTACGTTTATTACTTTTTTTTCGTTTTGTGTTCATTTATTTATTAATTAAAGTTTTATGTTTAAATGTTCACCGGTTCCCGCCTCCTTCTTCCCGATCTACGAACGTTGTTACATTAGGCTACGTTTACACTAGTGCGTTTTCGTTTTAAATTTTGACCCTCGAAAACGGGGACTTTCGAAAACACTGCAGACCCCATTTTTGTTCGAAAACTCTGGGGTTGCATTTCAGTGTAAAGCCAAGAACACACTACATGACTGTCATGCCGATTATGAATGGAATTTGGTCTTGACGACGGATCGCACCCAGTCAGACCGGGTCTGTTCCAGTTGGGCTCAGTCGCTATTTGCAGTCGGCAGAAAAAAATTGCGTAGTGTGTGGTGCCTAAAGATTATTATCTAAAAATTCAAGAACCAGTCGTTTCCAGTCGTTTTCACAAAGATTTTTTTAAACATGTTTAATATTTGCGACTGACGCCAGCGATTGTACTGTAGGCTATGCGGCTATGCGTTCACTGTCAAACGTCATTAAAGGTTCATTTTGTAATTTTGTCAAATATTTTTCTTGATTACACATCTTCTTGTGATTTATTTCTTGTCTTAATTTTATTTCATAAGTTAGCATTGCAAGTTAAATGGTTTTAGACTATTCGTTTTTTTCTGCAGTCGAATAAAGTAAAAAAACCTCAATTATGTCAGCAATTTCTCTCATTTTAAAGATACTATCAATAATTCTTTTTTTATTCTTTTATTTTCTTAACTTTTCAATTTTTCTTAAAATTTGTTATAAAGAATTTTTTTATTAACTTCATAATGATTTTTTTTCATAACGAATATACCAACTTCTTGTGATTTATTTCTTGTCTTAATTTTATTTCATAAGTTAGCATTGCAAGTTAAATGGTTTTAGACTATTCGTTTTTTTCTGCAGTCGAATAAAGTAAAAAAACCTCAATTATGTCAGCAATTTCTCTCATTTTAAAGATACTATCAATAATTCTTTTTTTATTCTTTTATTTTCTTAACTTTTACATTTTCTTAAAATTTGTTATAAAGAATTTTTTAAATACACAAATAGCATTTTATATGACTTTTGTTTCTGAATAAATGGAGCAGTAATGTTTTATTTCGTTCGGTAACTCGGGAACTGTAACGAAAAAAATAGCCTACCGTTTTTAATCAGAACCAATTCATTAATCCCTTTTTAAATTTTTAATCCCTTTCAGACATATTGGATAATGAATATATTATTGCTTGACTAAACGTTTAAAAATAGCACTAGAAATGTTATAATTAAGGAAATTAAACATAGGTGTCTGAAAAGACATAACGAAATGTGTCTGCTCAAGCAATAATTCAAAAAAGAAAGAGAAACATAGGACTTAATCCAAAAAAAAATAATCAAGACATTGCTGTGGCATTTATTAGCAACACCTACATAGCAGGAAAGCTAAATTTTCTGTTGTATTAAGCACAAACTAAGAAAAGAAAAACAAACCTTTAACGTTTCAATAATTAAGAGCACCGGTGTTGTCCGCTGTGTTGTCTTTGGTGGAGCGGGACCGACTGCTGGAGCGCGGGGAATCGGATACTGCGTTTTTTTTGTTTTTTTGGGGTTCGGCAGAATTTGTCCAATCGTGACGCGCCAGTCATTAAGTGTGTTGTGTAATGGACTGACTCAGTCATTAGGTTTGTGTTCCTCTCTGACTGTCAAAGACTAGAATCTGCTCCAGTCGATGGAAACAGTCTTTAAGTGTGTTGAGGTCAGTCTAGGTCAAGGTTAAGGTCAGTTTATTTATATAGCATATTTAAAAACAGCTAGTGTATGCCAAAGTGCTGTACATATACAAATACAGTAAATATAGAGAGTAAGAGAATAAAAAATAAATGACTCAAAAATACATACTCAATACAAAACACATTAACATACACAAACATACATTTCATCCAAAAGCCAAGGAATACAGATAAGTCTTCAGGCGGGATTTAAAAACAGGAAGGGAAGACGCAGATCTAATGTCCAGAGGTATGCTGTTCCATAGTCGAGGACCGGCTACAGAAAAAGCCCGATCCCCCTTAAATTTCAAGCGAGAGCGAGGTATATGCAAGAAAAGTTTATCAGAGGATCTGAGAGAGCGAGAGGATTGCTGATAGCTGAGAAGTTCGGACAAGTATGATGGGGCTAGATCATTTAATGCTTTATACACAAATAATAAAATCTTAAAATGGATCCTATGCTGCACCGGTAACCAATGAAGAGATGCTAGGACAGGAGAAATGCTTTCTCTCCTCTTAGTACCAGTCAGCAACCTCGCGGCTGCGTTCTGGACTAACTGCAAGCGATTCAGCGATGAATGATTGAGACCCATATAAAGCACATTACAATAATCAAGTCTGGAAGTGATGAAGAGCACGTCTTTGCCATTCAAAAATCAAAGCCACTTTTTTATTTTATAATGCCGTCTTATTGCTCTTCTTTGTAGTAGGTGCATTTTAAAAATGTTTTCCCAATCAATCCCGGACTCCTGCTCAAAATGATCAATTATTATAACGACAGCTACAAAAAAAAACAATAAGCCCGCGAAGCTGCTATCGTTCCATCCTGATGGATGACATGCGTGAAGTGGAATCCGGAAAATAAACCGTGGAACTTTGACCAACGAGAGAACAGTTTACTCGCGCATGACTTGTATTAACAAATTTGGTCCGTTTAGAAACTTTGCCGTGTGAAAGCGAACTGCACCAAGAATAAAAAGCAACATTAATCATTTTAATCCCTGTTTCGGAACAAAGCAATCGATCTACAGGTGTGAAAGCACCCAGAATGTTTCAGCTAGTCGTGTCCCCAGCTTAAACGGACCAAAACGGAGACTTTTGAAAATGATGGCGTGGCTGCCCACATTCACTCTGCGTATCCTTGACGACCGTGTAAACAATAACATCATGCTCATTGTTGTACCATGAATGGCCATGTGACATACGTTTTCGGTTGTGTAGTGTGGACGGAGATCGTTTCTGAAACGCAGTGAAAATGCCAGTGTAGTTTTAAAACAAAAATGCACTAGTGTAAACAGGGCCTAAAATGGTTAGTTATATATATATATATATAAACAAAATATTGCAACTTACAGTTCCACAAAAGGCTGTGAGTAGGTGCACAAGCGAACTTGACTGTGCTAGTCATGAAGATAACCCTGTGGACCCATTCTTTCTATAACAATGTGCTGAAACATGGCATATTCTTTTACAGTCGTGTTCTCATTATAATTTTATGTAGCCTATATGACAGATTTGTTCTGCATATGTTGCCCTTAATGGTACCTTTCTTTTAAAAGTGATTCAAGCAATTCAAAACCATCATGGCCGTATGCATTTGAAGTGTCTCAGCAGGGGGCGTGGTAGGCCAAGACTGTACCGCGGTGTGTACTGTGGATGGTGTATCACAGTTTTTCGGTTCCATTTGAATATCGTTACACCCCTAGTAAATACGATCTGGGAACAAAAAAATAAATAAATCACTCAGGCAATGTATCTAAATATTGATGTACCTTTTTAGATTGCCGGCGGAGGAGGAAGGGGTTCTTGTTAGTCTCCGTGGCGCAGTGGAAGAGGAGAGGAAGAGATGAGCTTTGGAAGACTTGAGAGGGGAAATGGTGCCTGGAGCTGGGCTTATCCCACTGCCAAAAAAAATGACAAATAGCAGAACAGTTTATTAATAGGTAATTATTTATTTAGGAATTTCCTCCAGAAATGTCCTCATGGAATTAAGGAAGCTTTCTTTTCAGTGCAGTAACTCAATACGAGTAATGATTTTCAAAACTGCAATGCTTTTGTGTAATAGCATGGCACTTGGTACAGGTCACTGCCACTGTTGTGCAAAACTTTGTCCCCCTTAGACCCCAAAGTGATTTTATTGACTGAAAGAATTGTTTATGGGTACTTTATTTGGTACTTGACTACAAATAGAAATTCATTTTATGATGCATTATTTATGTTAATTAAAGTCAGCATGAAATTAAAATTGACCTTATTAATTTTCTCAATACAAATTACTGGTCTTCTTGTGAATTAAACATCCGTGTGTGTGTGTGTGTGTGTATATATATATATATATATTTATTTATTTATTTTAATTTTATAATCTTTAATGAAAATGTCACTTGCTTTTCACAGCTTGATTTGCTGTGCAGTTAAGCCAGTTGCATTCAGATCTGTCTCTGCCGGTTTACAACAGTTATTTTTCACAATCAATTCAGCAATACATTTTTTTCTTGTTCTATTACATTTGAAAATAAAGAAGTAATGAAGGTCTTTTTCAAGTCTTTTTTTATTTTTATTTATCTGCCAACAGATACTACGACAGCATTTTAGTGCCACGTTAAAAAATAAAAAAATCTAAGATTTCAAATTCTGTCAGTTCCCTTTCAGTCGGTCACTCCGAGTCACGTCGGTGACCGACGAATTGGGATATCGCTTCGATAGACCAATCCACTTCGAGTGTAAACTAAACGAGCCAATGCACATTGGCATGCAATTATTGCATCCAGCTGCCGCTGATCACAGCGTGAGTATAATAAGGCAGCAGGTGCAATGCATACCAGCTTTTCGCTTCGGAGCCAAGCGACAACATCGTTCTGTTCTATATTCATTTCGAGAACTACGAGTTCAGCATGCTCTTGGAAGCTTTCTGTGTTGGCGAGACGGCGCTTCAGCAGTGGTCGTTCCAGTGTCGAGTGGGTTGCGCACTTTAGGCTGCACTACTGTGCGCCTCAGCACTAAAAGAGCATTTCCTAAAAGAGCTAATTTCTCTAAAAGAGCGCCACGGGTGCTTCTCTACACAGCACTAGGATCGTACTTATAAAAAGAGCTAATTTCTCTAAAAGAGCTCCACGGGTGCTTCTTTATAAAGACGACGGATCGTACTTATAAGGATGCCGTTTCACCCGTGCGTTTCTGGGTGCGGTTGTTAACTGGCACCGGGTGATGGTCACGATCGCTGCCTCACATGTCTGGGCATTAA